TTGGTTGTTAAATTACCCATAGTTAATACCTGCCTTACCTTGTAACCAGCCCAGCAATCCTTAAACGGCATCCACGTTCTTACTAAGTAACCCATTGCCTCAGAGCTGCGGGCCTGAATAGCAGACCGAAATCGTTCGAATGCGGACTCGCTGCTTGCGAACACCATGTTACGCATCCACTGAAAAACACGATCCTTTTCTAGCGTCGTTGCTGCAACTAGATGGTTGCACCGTTTCCGCATATCTTGCAACCCGTGAAACCGGCAGAACACTATCTTGGCTTTAGGATAGTGAGTCTTGAACCCGTTTAACTGAGCGAGACTACGATCTACCACTATTGTTTTACATTCCCTAGTTGCGGGCAGGTATTCACGCAGAAAACCCACGGCTTGTCTGTAGCTTGCAGTGCTTTCATTGGGCAGCAACGCATATAGAATGCTACGGCCTAAGCCTGTTTCATCCACTATCATTACGTGCCATAATACACAGCCTCCGCAGTTCATTTGATGAGTAGCGTCAGCTAGAATCACCTGGCTGCATCTGCGAGCAACCGGAATCACCTCCATGGGTATGAAGAAAAGGAACCTAACTATATTCTCCTCGTGTATTACCTGGCTAATGCCTTTACCTTCCAGCAATTCTTTAACCCTAATTACGTTACCACGAACATCGTGACTGTGACGGACACGTATAGACCGAAAGTCCATGCTATTCAGACGCCTATTGAACATGCGACTAGTATATTCCCTTAATTCAGCAGTATTATGGAACGTATCCATTAAGTTAAACACCATCGACTCTTGAAAAGCTGTCAGCCTTCGGTTAGCTACATATAAACTAGGATTTCCTATTTGGAACCTATGACTATGGACCATGCACCACTTTGCGATACGATATCCAGTTCCTTGGGCGACCAAAGTGACGAATGCTCCGCAATCCAGGTTTTTGTATCTACAATGAAGTCAAACATTAGCAAACAATTATTCTAACCTTGAACCACCTCCACCTTTTCGACGCTGATGGACACAACAATATTTCACGAAATGATATTTCATTCCGTCGCTAATTGTTAGCCGACGCTTTTTGGCCTGTTTCCATGTTCGGGCATTGTAATTGTAAAAGCTGGTACTTGTGCATCGCTGGAACTCTCGAAAATCGGTTGCGAATTCATCCAGACCTTCGTAAAAGTCTTTTATCAATCGGGAAAACGTATCGGAATTGTCAACGGTCATGGTCGTTCACGTGGCTAGCGAGCGAGATGGGTGCTGACATTTTGTAGCGCTAGGCCTTATATACCAGTGTAAATTTGATGATATAAACAATATTTTGTAATATTCTTTGCCTCTGGTTACACCCAACAGAATTTATTTCACGTTCTTTTATACGTAATTTATTTCATCACAAAATGTCTATTTCAGCTGATATTACCGTTTCATTTGTGGTAGTTCGATCCTTGACTTTCCTCGGGCGAAGGGCTGGAATATACGTCGATGACAGGAGGGGCAGTCTGAGATACACCGATAGATAGGATTAAAGAGTGGTGTCGTGTTTGGCTCGCCCAATCATGTGCACCTCGTGCAATTGTGGAAGCACGCCTGCAATCGTGCACACACGTACACAATTGACATTTGTCGTGATTCGTCCCGGACAGCATTGACCAATCAGATAGTACCACGTGTTGCACGACCTTGCACGGCTTAATCCGACTGTACAGCCTCCGATTTCATGCATGACTGACTCACGCATTTGCATACGTGTTTGCGTTTTCACTTGCTTGCTTGTAATGGCGCTTAAGGTACGTTGCTACAGAATACACTTTTATCCATCCAAGTCCGCCTTTCTTCTGATTACTGAATTCGGTACACAACAGGTGGGAGTAAGGGGCATCATACAGCGCTGCGCACATGGTGGCAACAAGGAGCGTGATGTATTCTTTTACTGGTCGCCCTAAACACTTGGATAGAATGCGTGTAAAACTGACAGAAAGGTGGCTTGACTATTCTGACCATGACCCTTCTTTGAAAATAACCGCCACTGCCACTAACTTCCTTTCCAATTGAAATACCTATTGTTTAAGTGTGGCAAAGCAGAGACGACACAAATCCGCTAACCACAAAAAACAACGGTCCAAAGCTCGCTGGATTTATGCCACCAAATCCGGTCGATTATGGTAGGCTTAGTCCTTCCCGTAATTTTTCTGTCTCCCCTTGCGTTATTTGCAGGTGTGAAAAGGTGGTTAAAAATCACTATTTCAATCTACGTTTCTTTTTCTTCATCACGTCTATGTACACTCTCCAAGTACGAGCCCAAAGCATCCGCTTTACTTTGGTCGCCCTGGGATAAGTCCCTTGGATCTCTCAAAATCACAAGTCATACTCCATTCCTAAGCTAAGCCTTGTCTGAGAAAGAGAGAAAATTTAATAGTGATCTGACCGCTTCCGCACAAAGGCGACAGTGATTCTAACTCATGTCATTCGCGTGCGCTGCAATCACTGAGTCTTAGAGTAGACCGTGACTCCCCAATCTGTATCTTGCGTGCCCTTGTATACGTTGGACCAGAGCCAAGGGATGCATCCAGCCAAAGACGTTTTCCCCTGCTCTACCCGAGGTAAAGCTATCTGTTGTCCTATCGGAACCCAGTAGGTTAGAACCTCCAACTACTGTAAGTGTGTTGGCCGATGCCTAGAATTGTTCTAGTGCACCTGTCAATCTTTGGTATTTCAAGGTCGAATTCGGACTCCTAAATGCACATGAAACAGTTTCTTTTTCTATTTTGCATTCCTACGAATAAAGAGTTTTTGCTATATACGACCTAACTTCTGATTCCATGTGTACTAGTTCTTATCTGCTGAGGAGGGCTACTCCACCACTTGCTGTGTCATCTTCCCTGTCCTGTCAATAGGAAAAATAGTGGTCTAGCTCGCCTTGTGAAATATGGCCTTTTTCGGACAACCAATTCTCTGAGACTTCAACTATTTCAGCATTGGTGATCTATTCCGCCCATTTATTTCTGATGCTGCATTCATTGGTATGTAACACCACCAGAGCCCTTTTAGTCGACTCTGCCCTACTCTCCGTTAATTTAATTTTCCCATTAGGCTGAGTACCTGAGTGGCAGCTACGTTTTTGATTCTAGTGCAGTCAGTATTGAATTGCGCTGGCTTGGTTGTATGACCTTTTGGTTCATCAGTTGGAAATCGTTCGTATACCCTGTCGGTGTTGCACGAGCCCTTTTTTGTCTGCCTGGGAGACCTTATGGTAATCGGCCAAGGAATACTTTCGCTTTCCAGCGTATAGATCCGTCAAATCTTATCTTCCATTGTGTAATCAGTACGTCCCATGCCAACTTTATGATCATGATCGTTCCGTGAGTTGACTTTTTGAATTTCTCAAACCCATTGAAAGATGTTTAAAATACCCACTATATTACATTTCACTCTGTCAGACCATTTTATCAGAATAAGCCTCGCAAATGTGGAACAATGTCTGAGGACAACAAATTAACCACACTGTTCCACAACATTAGCTGGTAATATGAATCCAGGTATTTGGTTGGCATTCCGTCTCAAATTTCACAAATGAGTTCGATGAATAATGATAGAAACAACGGTTTCCCATCCTGTAAGACCCAAATACTCAAAGAAGCGATGATTTTTCCAACAGCTTCAAGCAACAAACAGGTCAACAGCACAATCCTCAGCATCCGATTTCGTTGGGATGGCTATCTTAGAATGCCCAGCGCGGCAAGATTCGTTTACGCACATGTCATTTTTTATTCTAAAGAATTCGGTATATACTAGTACACGAATACATTCGCGGAACTTCCTTGGAGTCCAACATTATCAAGGCTGCAAGTACGTGCAGAAGCCATGGCAATATAAAATATATAATCAAGAACTACATGGAATGCAGCATGTCTTGAAGGATGGCTGATCTACAAGCACAGTAAAAAGCTGGGTGGTTTATCAGGTTATGTTGAAATTCCACAGACATCAACTGTTTTTGAAATAATCAATCTCCAACACATGCGGTTGCAATTTCGTTAGATTTTCCTAGTTAAATGGGAAACTTTTGATAGTCTCTTCCTTACGTATAAAAAGTAAATTCAGCATTTTACTCAAATTACGAATTTTAGCAGTAAATTATGGAAACTAGAGCACTGAACAACGGAAGACGGTTCAGTTCTGCGGTATTGCTTTTATTTTGTGTAGGTGAAATGATTTTGTCTTGGAAAAAGTACCAAAATTATCGTGCAGAGATGTATAGCCTCGTGTGAGACATTTTAGAGTAAGATAGCATTCCTAAAATAACTTCTGGTCTGGGAATTTCCATCCTTTGAACATGGTGAATTCTACATTGTTTAGTGTATCTCTAATAACGCCCAATCAACAAGGTTTATCGTGATTTTTGTGGTCCACAACAGAAAAGTCACTAAAATAAGTTTCTTCGGGAACTTCTTCTTACGACTTACGTACTCATGAACCCCCCCCCCCCTCTCCCCATATTTGTTACCACATCCCCGTGGCACATTGTCCACGGCAAGATTCCGGTAACATGCCGTTAACCGGTAGGCATTCAAGCAATGGTTATTTGTAAAAAAAAAGGAACTATTTAAGTTCATCCCGAATTTCATTATGATTAATAATTACCCATATTTATGCAAATTTATGCCTACTTAATGCGTAAAAAACACAGCATGAATTGTTTTAACAAAGTGAGGTTCACTCATTCGCAGCCATACTGATCTCACTTTGTTCTTTGAGGTAGGTGTTCCGCTCCGTCGGTTTCGTCAGACTGTCATTGAATATTGCTAAGGAGATCTCAAATACTAACCGCAGCTTTCATTAGGACCATATGACTGATAACATGGTGCAGCCTGTCTATGCTTTTAGTGATTTAACGTAGTGGATGGCAGCGATAGTGCAGAATACCTATAGTTTGCATTTTATTATGCTGAGGTGGAATATTAGGAAGAAGAACAAGATTTCATTCAGCCTAAAATGATGTTCACTTTTATCATCCATGCTGTGAAGTTGGAATGGGCTGGTTTTGGAGGCCGTGCTAAGGGTTCCGGGGTACGTCCGATAGTTTGCCGATAGCTTTTTGGTGAAATCCTGGTACGATTCCGGCGATTTACTTCTGTGTGTCATACAATGCATTAAATGCGCTTTTGGATCACGCTGTTATTCCATCATTCCTCAAAATGAGTTGGTTATCTTTAAATGCAGTTTAGGAACTGGGTAAATACTAGTTATTGACCATAGCAGATATCCAAAAACCGAAGAAATACCATCTGAGAAAGAAAGAATTCAATTCCGTAAAATTCGCTCTTTGTGGCGAATCTACAGTATAGGAGCATCTGATTCGTTTTCTTTTGTCGGATTTGTCATCTGACGTCATTTATTAGCGTTTGTACTTCCTGTTTAGACCCAACATTTAGCACTGCTGCTGGTGAATATAACGACGTGGTTGCTGAAGACGTCCATGAGCAACAGCCAAAGGATACACTTATTGATTCAAGCGATATGCTGAAGGCCTCCACACTGCAACCAACATTCATGAGTAAATTGATCAGCTGAATCATGGCGTCATCAAGGAATTAGTTTCAAAGGTTGGAGAAGTTGTCGATAACGAAGTTGTCTCCGAAGAACGGCCGATTGCTTTAGGCAAATGTAGTTTATGTCCACTAATGTGCATAACAGTTAAGCCATTGACAAGACTGCGATCCGCGGTACAGTCTGACGATAATGGCAGTTCACTATTACATTCACTGTCAAAAGCATTTGTTCATTTTTGATTGTCGTTTGTTCAACAGAGAAGCATCTTGGATGCTGCCAATAAACATAAAATAAAAGTGCGGCGAGATCCAATGACTTTATTACTACACCACGAGACCGTCAAACGCCAAGGTTGTAAAACGAGCGGTACATATATATGGGACTAACCAAAGGCCTCAAAATGCAGCTGAGCAACATTACCGCAATCCCTAACGAAATTTTCCTTCAGTAAAACTACGACGGTACTTCTGACCTTCGTTCTTCAGATCTGCAGTTATGGCCTACAATTGTCAGATTGGCTAAGCCGTACTGCTTGCCGGTGCTGACAGCGGGATTTTATCTAGCTTGTGGCAAACTCTCCAATATTCCCTCTTGCATGAACGATTGCAATAAATAGCTGCAAGATTTTCAGAGAGAAGGTATCCAGGCCATTGGAAGACACATTATACGTCGTCTGTCACCCGATATCGGTGACACTCCAGAACGGGCGTTCATCAGACAATTTAAAGGTGTAGCTGGGTACTTTGGTTGCGATCAATACATCCAACGTGGTCTGTGCTAGGACAGGAAAGTGACGTTCCCATTTGTGCTCTGCAAATGAAGTGATAACTTGGCAGTTCGTTCACATCGACATGCCAAACATCGTGCTGGCGCATGCCCCTTTCTTCCTCACTCCAGAGACGAGATTCACACTTTTTCTTTGGATTACATGCATCTTGTATGTTTGGGTGTGACATAGAAAAGGATTGGTCTTTGGTTATATGGTCCTCGGAAATCACTGGACCGATTGGGAAAATTTGCTTCTGAAGAAACTAGCAGTCGCCTACTTCGGCCACACCTCTCGACACTGTGTGACTTGCATCAACTTTGCAGACATATACAGAATGATGAACGATTTCGTACCTTTATTTTGTATTTGGATCTGGTTTGTTTATACGGTTTTTTGCCTGATGACTTCCATGGTCATTTTATGTCTTTTTTATTTATCGCCATTTGTATACCACACCATATCCTTTTGTACGTGTATTGCAACACCTCGGAATCTGTTTACCGTTGATTTTTTTCAAATTATATCTACCCTTATGGTGTTTCCAATCCTGTGCATGATTTTGATGTTATCGTTCACTAGTAGACGTTATTCATCAGGACATGCTGGACCCATTTTCGAGTTTCCCTTTTGAATCTTACTTAGAGACACGTTTCGTCTCCGGGGTCCGAAAAATCCCACTTACCAATTGTTTCGGCTTACGTGCCGGAGGACATTTTTCGGACAGTTACCATACAATGGATATCATCCTCGAAAAGTTTGGAATTCTGGTTCATGGGTTCCATGGATGCAAACAATGCCATGATGGTGAATGGAATCGTACTTTCTAGCTTGCCACCAAATGGCACTGTTATTGCCCACGGGAAAACCGGCGTTTGTTGTGGCTTTTCCCCTGGTTTCGTTAGTTTCCGTTATTTTCAAACTCCCGCGATGTATTTCCTAAATCGATGAAGTCCAGTCACTTGTACACATTTTTAATTGACGGACTGGATGAGAACGCCGTGAATGATCCTGTAAATATTGTTTGTTGTACATGTTTCCCCACATATCTTCCCGATAATTATGTTTCAGTACCTATACTACATACATTTCAAAAATGAAACTTTGTTTCCTGAGGCGGCCCCCACGTTTTGTATCCAGTGTGTTAAACGCCATCGTAACATGGATATTGTTGTTTAATATGTGTTTGTTTGTGTCGTTCGAGTCCGATTTATCTGTGGCCGTTGCACACAGCAGCTGGTTAGTGGATGACAACAAAGAGCTTTGGTCGAAGTCACGCACTTTCCTGGCATATCAAAGAATTCTGCTGGATGATGACGCTCATTCTAGGTGGATAAAAGGTTAGGAGTTACAAGAGATATATTACACAGATAAACTGTCTGGTTACATGATGTTTTCAGATAATCCTACGGATACGATAAAATCTGAAAGGAAATTCCTCTCGGAATCCTGGAAATCGGGGTCCTCAGATGGCATTTTGCACAACACACCGACTACCTAACGGTACACGGTTCGATGAGGGTGCGTTGTTACTTATTATTATATGTTTTTAGAATACCCGTAACTCGTCCATCAGATGGTAGTTCCAAAGGAGTGCTGTCATAGAGGATCCGTGATGAATCTCCGATACCTGCGATCAGCTCTCCCCGTGATATAGTGGCTCTATGTAGCTCATCACCGAGGTAAATCGACAGCAAATTTCCAACGTACTCTTTTTCCCAGCCCACCAAGTTTGGAATCCTCGAGACGACCAACACGAAATATCAGAAACTCCCTATCTACCAGTCCCAGGTGTGTTGCATACAATTTCGAATAACTAATATATTTCAATTAGCACATCCTGACTAACTGGTCACAAGTATTCACAAACCCAACTCTGCTTACTTAAAAGGATGACAAGGTAAATGTCTCATTGAAGGCACTTATAGTCCGGCTACTTTAAGCATATGGTCTGCAATCAAAATGGCATCCGAAAAGACCTAGCGTTGATAATTGCTCAACTGGACAGCATTGCCGCTCGTTTAGAGGCAGCGGATACCACGGAGGATGAATCGTCGCGGGCCAACACGGATAACGGTCTTCTAAATCTGGAGGAAGATTTAGCGGTGTTGACAAATAATAACGCTGGAGTTGGCAACAAACTCCATAAATATTACCATATTACAGTTGCAGGTGGAGGCTGTTAAATGTCAGCTATACACAGGCCTTGGGTCTACCATGGGAAGACTGCTCGCTTTCTCAGTCGGGGAAAGTCTGAATCTTGACTGCGCTCGAACTGGGACACCTGAGATATTGCTGTGGCAAGTTATAAACTTTCTACCGCCGTGAATGGTGAGTGCATTGTAGTATAAACACTTTCTATCTACATACATCATCAAATCCACAACATGTTGTAGGGAATCAACTACACCGGAGATCGATAGTGTCATAAGAAGGTGGTTAACCGAGGCGCGAGACGGTGGTTTAGGTCGCAGAAGCACCAGATATGGTCACACTGATAGCTTATACTTGATCCCGTGATAAGTTACCAGTTACGTGCATCAGTGCTGATGACCGTTATGTCACGTGACACTTTAAAGTTCATTTACCTACGAAACCTTCAGTTCTGCTTCTATATATCACATCTGAACATAAAATCGAATATTCATAATAATAACAGTGGTTCCGATTCTCTTTCCATTTGCAGATCTCGGCGTGTAACAGTGTGATGTATAATAATCTGTCCCATGAGAAAGACATTCTCACTTTTGCCACAACTCGTTCGTGTTGCGATTCCGACATATTGGCGACCGGATACAAGTACGTTCCCGAGGCGCGGAAAGCCTAAAAAATATCATTGATATTTGCGAACTATTTCCACGTAGGTTCACTACCGAAAGTTGCACAGGGAATGTAAATGGGAATTAGAGTGTACAGATAAATCAGTTCATTATTTGCTGACTCACGGGAACGTCTGATTAGCTGGGATTACCGGCCAGGTTCCGATACAGGAGTGAATTGAAAGTTTTGGGATAAAATTAGTCTAAATGCGCACGTCGATTTTCGCGTGCCCTTCCGGCGCCGTTGACCAACCGGTACCCTTCCCGGCAAGTTACAGGGACGCCACCAGAAAGCTAACGGCAAACCACCCCCAAGGAAAAGGATCTGGTCCGGAATAGATGCGTCACTAGGGTCATTTGTTCAAAGTAAATCGACAATCAAAACGATTTGCGACAAGATTTGGATGTTTTATGGTCACAACCTTTAGCCACCTCTTTAGTTGTTCTTATACTGGTTTTCGATCGGTTAGAGACTAATACAACTAACGTTTCGTCATTCTTGTTTCCAACGGCATGTGGTAATTTTTATCATGTCTTCTCCCAGATCAAATACTAATTTCTTTCTGGCTGCTATGTTTACCTCAATGCGGTGGAGATCATTATCCGATTCGGACAATGTCGTATTTTATACAGCACATCTTCCTATAAAACCACTTTTAACATGAATAATGAGGAAAAGCACTCTGTCATTCACAGGAAGAGAGTGAAACATATTTTTTACAGGAACATGTGTCCGATCAGCTAACACAATTTTAATCAACTTCTGAATAAAAAAGCAGAATTTTCCCATTTTCATTAAATATGTTTCAACGTAACGAAAATAAAAAGAATAATTAACGGGCCCTGCTCATACTGTAATCTGCAAGGACCAGCAATCTTTCGAGAGGGCCGGGGGTTTTTTATTTCGATCTAAAGCAACAAAACCGTGTTTGTCTGAACTGCTTGATTTCAATTCCGATTTGCTTGAATCCATCGTTGACTCTGTGATGACACTGATGTTTTGTCTTGTTGTTTGTCGGACTTGGTTCTTTGTTTGCAACACATTTTAGCCACGCATTTGAGGTTTGTGCATGGTTGTACATGAGTGCGTGATTTTGATTCAGTAATAATGATGGTCTACCTTGGGGAGGCCCGAGGCATACTGGATGCTTGGTCGTATGATGCAAATGATAATGGTGATAGATATTTTAGAGCAAACGAATACAAACGCATGCAAACCAAAAGACAAGATATTTTAAAATCGCATAGCAACAGAAGCAGTAGTACTGCCCGGAAAATTTGAAAGTCAAGGTCAGATGAGGAATCAACCAAATTATGTGGCGATAGGTAAAAAAAATGTTGAGGTTAGGCATAAATGGAACAAAAAGGATTTGAACAGCTGAACAATTGGACGTGGAAGAGGAATAGATTGAGTAACTCAGAAAGAGAGTAGAATGGCAATCAGAATAATGCGACGCACTAGTTTACTGCAATGAAAAAGTGCGGAAGTAATATAAAACCAGCCGAGGTACAAGGAGAGAACAACAGAGATGTGGAGAGGTGAGTCAATCAGCAAGAATATCACTAAGATTTGGTGGGAGGCTTCTGGCAAAGACAGTAATAATTAAAATGGACACGCCGCGGGAGAGGGAGTTTGCAAGTGTGGTGACGAATGAAATTAGCAGGCGAGAGCAGAGAAACACTAAGCTAAGGGAATAGCACCAATATAGGTGGAAAGTAGATTATCAACGCAAAACTGGAACTGAGGCATAAAACGAACTGGGAGCGTGAGCAAAGCGAAAGTAGATGTAAAGGACGTGAGAACAGCGATGATAGACGAGCTGATCGGCGAGAGCAGGTAAGGGTGGTACAATTACTTTACATTCATATAAGATAACTGTGCGATAGTTTTGTTCGTGATATGTGAAACGTGATGATCAACAGAGGATGAGCATCAAGGCAAAAGCAACATATGGTGCGCAGATTTGGTGAAAGCAAAACTGCGCAAAATACAAAAGGGATGGTGCAGGAAATGACCACATTTTATCTTGTATAAGATTGGTTTATGGGGCTGCGAGTTACTCGAGTTGAGAAAATCGACTTACACTACTCACTTCGGAACCGAAAGAAGAAAATTCTTTCGAAATGTGAAGAAGTGGAATCAATGAAAATGGAAACCAACAGAAAGTAATGCAGCATATCTCTTTGAGGATGGTGAGTTATCCTGGTTCTTTTGAAAATTGTATCTGTTAGTCCTGTAAGAGTCTGTTCATTTGTTTCCCCAGATGATTCAGAGACAACGGATATTGGTTTGTATAGGCCTAAAGCTAATGTTATAATACGAGTTCAAGTTAGTCAGGCAAAATGTCGAACATGCCAATGAAGGGGAACAAACCTGTCTAACTACTGAAAGAAAAGTGACCGAAATTCGTTCAAACATAGAGGCGTTTCATTCTGATCATACTGTCGAACCGACAACGAGACCCTGTCAATTTGTCTCATACAGTATTGACTTGTCCAGAGGGGAAATGACTGCGTATGATGGTATCACGTTCAATGCGAATAGTACTAGCGCTTTAGCCCGGTTCTTATTTACCACATTTGGCGTCGCCGTCATAAAGTCTCCAATGAATTCTTGAAGCAGACCAGCTGTTCTACGGTGGAACTGGAGGACATTCTGCATCAGTTCCACGGTTCAAAATTCTATTCCAATTTGGATCCTATAGATGCACTTCTACAAATATCACTTTGAGGAAAATCCCGTGAGTTCACAACAAGCACTACACCTTTTGGACTATTTCAGTATAACTCTTTACCTTTTGGTCTCAGTGTGTCACCTGGAATTTTCCAAAATGCCATTGATTCTCTCATTTCTGGTTTGCAAGGTGTAGTCGCTTATCAAGACGATATCATTGTCCACGCACCAATCAGGGAATTGCATGACGAACGTTTGTGTTTGTTGTTTGAACGGTTCCGTGTGCATAATGTTGCTAATAATCCCGACAAATGTGTTTCTTCAACCACTCATTTCACGTGTTAGGATATCTCGTAGACGAACATGACTTTCTACCCGATTCTGACCGTTTTTCTTCTTTATCGCATGCACGTTCACCTACGTCTCTTGAAGAACTTCGCTCGCCATTGGGTTCGCCGCAGTATTATTCCAGATTCATTCCAGACTTGTTTGACCTTTGCTCACAAAACACATTCAAGTGGTCGCTTGTACATGAGCGGGAGCTTCGACAGTTGCTCAACTTCCTGTCTACCAACACCGTTTTACATTCATTTTCACCCAAGGTACCATCTACCGTCGTCATGGATGCTTCTCCCACTGGCGTCGGAACTGTGCTCGAACAGGATGGTCATCCACTTCTGTGCATTTCATATTGACTTACTACTGCAGAACGTGGATATCCACAGTCACAACGTGAGGCTCTAGCTGTCTTTTTGGCAACCATTCGATTACACAAATACTTGTTTCGGTCACACTTTACGTTAGTGACTGATCATGAAGCATTGAAGTTCATTTACAATCCACACACTTCGTTAGCGAAATCATCCGCAGCCATGGTTCAACGGTGTAATGTGACTCTTAGCGCATATTCTTATGGTACTCAACATCGTAAAGCAGAAAATATTTCTCACGCGGACTATTTTTCTCATTAGGCCACTTCTGAGAAAACCTCCTTTGACTGTTTGTTAACCAACCCATTTCCTTTAAATCGATCCGATCTAGTTAGTGAAACTCGGAAGCCTTATCATGCTATTTTATCTCGTGTTTGACGTGGTTGGAGAGTGAACATCAAACGTCGATTCCCACATTTTTACAAACGTCGAGAGGGCATTTCTGTGACTTGTGATGGTGTTCTGCGTTTCAGTGATCGCATTATTATACCACCTACATAGCGGTCAGCCGTTCTAACTGATTTGCTTTCTGGACATCTTGATATCTGAAAAGATAAAATGCTTAGCCCGACTACCTGTTAGTGGCCTGAACTGAACAGCGATCTATGTCAGTTTGCTAAACTTTGTACCGACTGTGCGCATAAAATTCACTCCCAATCTTCCCAGTGGACTCCGTGGTCCATATCATGCGAGATCGGGCAGCGTGTTCATGCTGATTACTGAGGACCACTCTTGAATAAGCGCTACGCCGTTTTTATCATTAGCTCTTATTCTAAGTGGCCAGAGATTTACTTCACTACCTCACAGAACTCTGATTTTACTATCATCGCACTTCTCGAGAGGAGTACTGTAGCCACAGGTTACCGATAACGGGAGTCATTTAACTGCCCAGAAGTTGACAGACTGGTTGATGTCCATAGGCTGCCATCATGTGTTCACTCTTTCACGTCATCCGCCGTCAAATGGCACTGCTGAAAATTTTTGTAAGATCAATAAAGAGTGCTATCAAATCCACAAATGTAGGAACATTCGGTGAACTCGAGAGGACTGTGGACAATTTCCTAATGCATTATCGCAATTCCGCCCATTCAACCACGAGTAGTAGTCCAGTGAGGCTGTTCAAGAACCGTACACTACGCACCAATTTACTCCAGCTCGAATCCTCGGCAGTTGTTCACCACACAGGGAATGATTTGAGACCCTCAACAGGCGTTGTAATTAAGCAACTTGAGAAAAGACTTTATCAGATTTTGGGTCTCAATGATGGTTCCATTCATTGGAGACATGTAGATCAGATTGCCTTTAATCCTGTTTCCCATTGTAATCCTGCTGATACTAATTTTGACCTTCTTGAGTCTTTTCCAGATGATCCCAGTTCAAAATCCAGTTCAACAGAAACAATCAGAAGATTGGAACTTTTACAGAACAAAGAACGCCGGTATTACAGAAACCCAGAACTTGATTCAAGCTTCGTCGGATGTGGAGATTGTTGATGACATTGCTCCATGTTGTTTTACTGGATCTGCATGTTTATGTACATTGTGATTGCGCGGAAGTTCAAGTGTGTACCTATCGAGTCGATGCTCTTGATCTTCAATTGCATGTAATTCGGGCAGGAGCTACA